CCGATACCGACCGACGGGAGCCCTAATGCTCTATACGCGTAAATCATACACATGTGCAAGTATGCAACGTTATACGACCGCGAAAAGTAGGTCGATACGCCGCAGAAATGAAAAACGAAACGAAATAAACAATGCACATGTATTATATATAAGGCGCATACATCAACCGATGCCGAGTATTGATGTGTCAGTATAATACGTGTATAATCCGATTAAAATGAATGACAAAATGAAAATACTATCATCGAAGAAAACCATTTGTCGACAGCAAAAAAAATAAAGTCCTCATATTATATTATATCCATATATCTATATAGGTATCAATACGTATATCCTATACACGCGCACGCATGTGTGTCTTTTTTTGCAGGATAAATGCTTCTCATTGATGTCGCGCACTGCATTATCGCGCGACACGCCTTGTGAAGAACGACTCGTTTCCGCACGCACATCGTTTTTTCCGAGAATCTTTAGCGGATTTAATAATTTATCCAGCGCGCTTAAAACGGAGGCTGCGCGCAAACCCGTTCCTCGGCTTCCTCGGTTCTTTTAATAATATAATATGTCTCCGTCCTTATCATCGACGCGTTCCCTCATCGCACAGACGCATTAATATTGGTCATTCTTCTCTTTTTTTTCTGTCCGATCCATTCATTCGGTTTTCACGGCAGACGTCGATCAACGAAAGTAAATACACGACGGAAAAATCGTTGCAATAGGTACACGATGATGATGGGTATAAAAACACAATAATAATAATAATACTCCCATGTCTTCTGCACCACGTCAGCGGTGTATACATATTATTATTATATTATATTGCTGTATATACGCGCGTCATACCGGATATACGGCCGATCCATTGACTGCGAGTCCGTAGACCGCGCGCGCGCGTTATCGAGTTATTTCCGCGAATGAGGTTCCGACAAGGTACGTGGTTATGGTTGCAATAAAATAATACCCAGAGATCTCGAAATTGCTGCTGCCAACAGTTGTAAAATACTAAAAAACCTTACGAGCTTCTATCCCGGCGGTATTATAATGATAATTGATAAATGCGGTTTTATGGCCAACCGTTTTATTTCGTTTTCCGTTTTTTGAGTTTATAAAACTGTTTGCCTGTTTGAACATATTATATACGGTCGTATAATATAATGCTACCTCAATCACCTACATAATGTATGCCCATATGTGATAGGTAAACAATATCGCTGCTCCCCGAATATCAGCCGCGACGATCGAAAAATTATAAATAATTATAATGTTGAATTCTGCAAGTGGCTCACACACACATAATAGTTAAGACGGAATATCGATGTTTTATCGCCGCTTCTTATTTCTTGTACAACGTCTACACTGGACTTGTTGTAATATAGGTATACCGGTGAAACGGACATAGGTTGTAAAAATCAAATTATCAGCAATTGTTTGAACGGAATCAATAAGGTGTGTGGTGATTTCTAAACGCRCACGGAAACTCATCTGACATACATAATAATAAATTGTGCATAGTGTGGACTACGTCGTGTCGTCATTCGGTGTGCGAAAGAAATCCAACTAATTAATTATATATTTGACTTTCGTGTTGTATGCCGAGATGAGGGTGGGCTGATTTTTTGGCCTAGAATATACTATATAGGTATTAAGTATATATATATATATATATTATGGTAGGCTTATAATATAATATAATATGTATAATACGGAGTAGTAAAAACATTTATGCTCTGAAAATCACACAGACACTACGTTGGTATACGTGCATTCAATATACGTACTTTGATAAATTATTCTCTCATTCCTTCATTCACACAAATTCCGAAACGTCCGTACAAAGTTAACTTATAATAATTTCAAATCTGTACAAGCGTGAAAATTTTTTTTATAAAAATAAATGTTAAGTATGTATATTATGTACATTGTATACGTATATTACATTTGATATTGATTATATAATGTATCATTTTCTTAAGATGTACCTATCTCGTTAAAAATTGTATAGATAGGTACCTAATATTTTGCAGGCTTCAATTAAATAAAACGAGTTTTTAAAAAAAAAACCTACCGCAATTATGTATCTTTAATATTAAACATTTTATTCAAATTTTTGTTTGATAGGTTGTACCACTTGTAYCTAATTTRATCGTAATCTTGTTTTCAGTATTCATGAGGTATTTAACAGAAGTATGTTATGGTATTTCATTTCCAGATGTGTTTTCAAGAATTAAGTACTTTAATGAAAATTGTACACACAAAAATACTTTGATACAATCAATTAGTTATATAAATTCATAACTCAGTATTCTGAGATAATGATTTATCAATGAACAATGCAATYAYGATTTATATAAACCTATTTCAGTTGTATAAAAATGTTGGTTGATTAATTATTCTGCATTTTAAAAATTTGAATGTCGTATTATTAATTAAACATAGTGGCGCATAAATGCATAATTTGGTATTATTTATGCTATAGTCTATACCTCTGTCTATGGATATTATTTTAAGTTGAAAACATTAACATAGAATACAATTAAGATACGTTTGTATGAAACGCATATTACTGACAGATATACTTAATCTACCTAGTATATSATATTGGCAGTAGAATCTTCCGGATAAGTCACTTTCGTTAGAACTAATGTTGAACATAGGCGTAAAATTATTCATGACAAATGGTAAACGGTTTGTATAATTTATACAAACCGTTTGTACAAAATTTCTTGAAATAAAATAACATATACATTATCAACGATCGTAAAATCTTAATATAAATCTGTGGGGAAAAATTGGCACTGATATATGTGAAAAAATATGCCAAGTGGTACAAACGGCTGTAGGTCGTCGTATACACCCATTTATATACAATATTATGATATATAGCTCGCACGAACATCATAAACATCCGACGATGTTCTACGTCCATTCGGTTGGTTAATATTTAATTTATATTAATTACCTATGGGTATATCCAATATGTGCGTTCRCGGCATGTTAGTTTAAGTAATAAATATATAACGGCCATGGCGATCATCATCTATAGTATAAATTATATATTTATGATTATAATAACTTATACTGCAGCATCCCATGACAATAATATATGCATTTATGCGTATAATAGTGCTGAGAGTGACCATACTATTATAATATTATACATATATTATATCTAGGTATAATATATGAATTGTAATTTGTAAATGACTTTGGCCGGACGTGGTTTTCCGCACGCGTGTTCTATCTCTATATATCTCTCGACACATATTGTTAAATTTTACGATAAAACCGCTGTAGGWATATGCATGTATTTATAAACCTAATCCATCCTGACCACCTAACCTAGCCCAACCTACYTATATATAATACAATGCTTACAATTATGTTGTATACCTACCTCTGTATAAAATAGGGAAAATAAATTCTCAACGAGGGTTTGTTAGATAATATATGAACGTCATTAAAGCGAGATGAAAAAAAAAATGGAAAAAAAATCGCGAGCTCGTGGTTATAATATTGTCGCGCAAACGATTCCGGGAACAAGCGGTGCATGCATCACTGCAGACGGGCTGGACACGGACTTAATTACGTACTGATGGCACGTATTACGGCTGTCGCCATCTCCCCCTGCCGCCCGTCCACAACCCCACCTCACCCGACCATCGAATGCGTTCGCAGGTGTCAGTGTCGTGTGAATACCCTCCGCCACTTCCGACCGATACCGTCTGTGCGATATTTTCTATATATATATATGTATTTATTATTWTTTTTTTTATCTCTTTTACAGTTAAAAACGTCTCGTGCGCCATATCCGCCGCCGTCTAACCTGTACCTCATAATATGTTTATAGGTAATAATAATATATTATACTCGGCACGGCGATCGACCGGCTGATCTCGGCGAGGCTGACGGACGGGATGAGGAAACAATCGTTGTTGTCTTCGTCGAAATGACCAGCCTCGCGTGCTCACGGTTTTTACGATTATCTCTTTTTAACGAGTGCAACAAATCTACGCGCAACAATACGACTGTGTATTATATAGTATATACCTATTAATTATTATTGTGATTGTAGGCACATGTACACAAAATTAAAATATTAGGAAATTTAAAATTTCCCTCTCATCGAATTATTATGTCAAATCATTTTTTTTTACGTAAACTGATAGAATAATATGTATAAATACCTATTTAAAGTATTGATTAATAATTACAAATAATATAATAAACATTGATAATGAATGATTAATTTATTAACGTTTATTATGAACGCCTATTAATTATTATTAAAGACGAGGTTTACTTGTTAAATTAGCTTGTACAGATTAAGTTCTGAGTTTCTACATTTATCAAATATCGTTAGTCATCAATTACCTATAAGGTCTCTATTTTTCGTTAGTAATTATAAGCTCTTCAAAAATTTTAATCTTAAAATGTATTATAGTAGTTTATGAGTTATGAGTTTTCGACTTATAAGTTAGGAATACCTACTTATAAAGTTATGTAGTACCTATAAATTTAAATTGTTTGATATAGATATAAAAACATAAACGATAAATATGAATATATTTTTATTTTTCACATAAATGAAACATTTCATGCAAATATAATGACATATTTAAAGAAAACAAAAAAGTCATGAAAATGTATAATTTATGATACACACAATATTAAGTACTTACTACATAAAATATACTGTTTAATATTATTCACTCGCACGGACTTTCCAGTATGATATCAGTGAATGAGTGAACCGGTAATCGGTATACACTATACGTAAATATTTTATATGTTATGTGCGCGCACGTGTAACTATAATACCGTCATCGCCGCCGCTTCCTAGTGTAGAGCGCGCGCGCTCAGCTGTCCGCTTGATGGTTGTGCCATTTATAAAAAAGAAAATAATAATAATAACGATATTATATTATTATCACGATAATACCTCCTATGCCGTCGCCTCTATACGTTATTCTAAATTTTTTTTGTTATTATTTTGTTCACAGAGTGATGCTAGAGATGGGYGACAAGACCTCCGTTGCATGGACCGCTTGGTGGATCCTCACGTTTTCTGTAAGTATCTCTAAGTATATTATATTATTAAAATATATTATCGTGTGCGCATTACTTATATCGTTGCTATACTTAAAAGCTACARCTACTCCGCTACCTGTAAGTGCACGATTTATTATTATTTTGTTGTTGCTGTTGTCTGTTGTTGTTGTACTAGTTGTTACTTTAAATACAGCAGTATTATATTATTAGGTATACATTATTATCAGACCACACCGTCGCACGACCGCACGTTGTATGTATAGAGGACAGAGGTACTTTTCATTACCATATTACAAAGAATATATTGAGCATCTCTGGGCTTTTAAAATATATTGTATACGTGTAAGGTCAACCAAAGACACGGGTTTTTTTTGAAAAATACCTAAACTATATATAGCGAAAAAGGTCTTGAACAAAACGGTATATGCGAAATGGTCCTTCCGTAAGGATCTTTTGATTTATATGACAACGAATTCACTGAAGGCTTCAGGCTGCACTGAAACCTTTTTTTATTGATTTAGGACCTAGATTCTAGGTCAATTGTCACCCAACCATTTGCCACTTGTCGGATTTTATAGATAGTGGATAATTATTGCTGCTATGGTATGCGAACACTTTCACTCGCATAATTATTATGATCATATGACTAAGTTTTTATTAAGTTCCAGTACTTATGTCCATTTTATAAGAAATCTTTTAGAAAATTATCAATACTTAGGTGTAAAGGTTAAGCATTTTATATTTGTAGATTTAAATTAGGTTTGAACGTCATTATATGTTTACTATAGATCATAATATACTAACATAATATTTTCTCATTTTTTATCTGAAAATATATAATATTAGCTGTTGAATATGTATACAAAAATATACCTACCACTTCAAAGCTTTTATACAATTATAAAGTCAAGTTATAACAAGTGAATGTTGGAAAAAATGTTTTCTGTGTGTAGAATCTAAATAAGACAAGAAATTTGAGAAGAAAAACTTGTATTACAAAATTGGTATCGATATCGGGAGACACCTATTTTYCATTGGATACTTTGGGCACATGCGCGGGGTCCCCCATCAATGGGCTCTCTAGCTCCTACCAAATCATCAACTAATAATCGATATTTATTATCGTTAAATAAACTTATTTTGAGAACAATCAAAGGGTAATCGCTAATATAGTCATAATAATAATAATACAATCGACGCGGGTCGATTATCCATTGTAGGCGAAATTCGCACAGTACGTTATTATTTTTGTATGAAATGATGTTTAAATTTCAAAATTAATAGTGATTATTAGGACCTGGCGCAACGGTTGTGGCTGCAGTCGTTAATGTGTGTTACGGTTAAGCATTGTTCATCCAGCGTTGATAGCTCCCGGATGGGTGACCCCCTTGGTTCTTACAGCAACGAATCCTACATGTCCTCACATACACACTTGTTGCTCAAAACCAACAGTAACCCCCTCAAAGTACTAATGGTCATACTTCTATAATTACCGATTCTTCTAAAAACTAATGAAAAAACTGTTATCTATTGATTATTAAATATTTTATGTTCAACTTTAAAATAAGAGAGGTTCAGTCTATCTGTAGCCCTCCGTGAAAAGGTTATCGTTTTAACTTTTTGTCTAAAAAGAAGTAATACTTTTAAAATTGAATAACATATACAAAAATAAATTCTTCAAATAAATATGGTTTTAAATACTACATTGAGTATTGACTTCAATACGTATGCTAATTTAGTTACGTTTTAAAGCTAATTGCGAAAATTAAGTTGTATATTATAAATTTATAACACCAATACGTATAACAGAGATACATTTAATATAATTATAGGTGGAGCTTTAAAAAATGTTCAATAACTTTGAACGGAAAACTTTCGATATTTTAAGAGGGGTTCCCTCAATCACCCCCCCCCCCCCACCACACACACACACACATCAATATCCACCTATTAATATCCCATATATACTATATATGTAGTACACGTATAACTACATCATATACAATATATCCTGGAGTCTCGACTAGGTATTGGCCGTATTGTAACAGGTAGTCATTATCTAGTTATTTAGATGATATGTACTTACCATATAGTATAGACCTGAAATTATATTTATAAATGGGGTGATCCATTTAATATATTTCGAAATAATGAGTATCTTACGTTAAATAGATCACCCGATATTTATATTTGGCAGCGAATTGAATGTATATAAGTATAGGTATAGCTGCTCGTATATCCTATATTATATTATAACCTGTTGATGTAGGTACCTACTTTCATATAGTCCCACGAATATTTTACCGTAGGTTATGTATTTTTGGGCATGATGGGAAAACGGGTCCATCAKTCTATCACTATATATTATTATAATATCTTATATTTCCGGGCGGAATATTCACCGAAATCGTCCGTTATAATATCATTAGACAGCTTTTTGTGTAAACAACGGTGCACCACTGTGGAACACAACCCGTTGTTGTTACCGCGCGTAGGTTTTGCGCCAAATAGTCGAAATGTCACGTCGGGTCAAAGACTCGCCAACTGCCAACCAGAGGACCCTAACGCGCGTATATTTATATGATAGTTTTCGTGTGTAGACCCGCTTGTCTGTGTATATAATATATGCACTTAATAACTTTTGAAACTGGTAGGTATGTCCATGAAACGCGACGCGTCCCATTAAAATAGCGTAATAATATTGTCTTATAAAACAGCAGTAAAAAAACTGTCGGACGACGTTTAACATAAATACATAATATCTAAATTTACATAAACATTATACGTATATATTACTGGTTTTTTCAAGTTCTAGGACACAGCGAGTTTTAATAATATAATTACACTATATCATTCGGCAGGTTATATATATATACGCCCAGGCGTTATTGTTCCCTCGGTACTCGTTTACTCTCTATACCATATATATTAATACACACATATATAGCTATAGTAATAGTAATAATAATGATAATAATAATAATAATAATAATAATAATAATAATAATAATAATATAATATGATGATATCTGATTTCGAACAACCGATTACTCGCGATATTTGATACGTACACGCGGTTCGATGGGTACCTCGTACCTATACTCTATAGGTAATAATAATATATAGAGAGCTATACGAGATATTATTGGTCTGACCACCTACCGTACGCTAAATAATATAATATATTATTATATATAATAAGACGTATACCTCTATTCGTAAAGCCACCGATCTTTGGCCGTCAGCGTAATATATTGAAATATTGTTATTACAGTCGCCACGTCTCTAGTAGCCTAGTACGTCCGTATGTATCAACTATCAAACCGTTATGCATTTATACACAAATTTATATTATTGTACAATATTACAATGTCTACAATGCACATGTTATATTCTATAATGTGTGTTGTTTTTACAAGGATGAAGAATAAAGCAATTTTTTAAGCTTAAGTTAATATAGATAAATTTAAACTACCTAAATATAGGAAAAAGGGTAAATTTAAACTATGTAAAATATCAATTTGGTCCCTACAGTTGTTTTTAAAACTAAATTTGTACAACCTATACTAATAAGCACACCAAGTAGATTTGATAAAATTATAAACAATTTATACTCTAAAACAAAAATATATTATAGTTATAATGTAAATAAAATATAGGTACAAGAACAATTAATGGACATAATTACAGAATGGAAGGGCTTTTGAATGTTGATTTTTCTAACATATAAATTATTGGCTACATAGTTAATTAGGTTAATTAAAAAAAAAATACGGTACTGGGTATTGTAATGTTTTTTTGAACGTCCAACCGATATGATGGTGTTATTGACTGTTGTGCTGAGATTTTAAATTAATGTTTTTGAGTGGAACTGTAACTTTTCATATATAATATATTTGATATTTTGAATTTTATTTTTATTCGTAAAGTTATTTTGTTCCATAGTAAAATCCTGAAATAATRCATTTAACACTTCAGCAATCTACAATTCAATATTTACAATACCTAARGCCCATTATAAACTGCAATTTGTACGATCACCTATTGCTTTGTTTTAAATATAAAAACAATAGTTTGTACAAAATATGGCATATCTTAAAATTTTAAATCTATGAAGATATTATGTATTAATTAACTTAACTCGAATAAAAGATCAATTGAATAATATTAAAGTCAATCATTGAAAAAATTTAACTTAATAAGTTTGTGGCTACTTTAAAAAAAAGTAACTCATTATGATATGCATAACTTTGTTAAAAGTAACTTAACTTGTTTAWGTATATAAGCCTTGTATATATAAGATATAACTACATCTATGCTATATTTTMCTAGTTAGACGGTGTCTTTACGCCAACCACCCCCCTCCCCACCACCGGCCAACGTTAAATAATGTGTAGTAAGACAATAATAATTGCGCTCGACGATTATCTACAATAATAATATGTCGTGAGTATATTATTATGTAGTACACACGCACAATTTGTTGTCTTTGTTTCGCGAAACTGTTACTGCGATGGTTTCACGGTAAAACATCACCGGTCGAAAAACGTCTGTATAGTCGTTTACTGCAACAGTCGCACGCGGATGATGACAATTATATTTATATATATATATATATATATATATATAATATACCTTGTCAATAATATAGATATTACAGTATTATAGGGACAATGGTAATAATTTTCGACAATCATATTATTATATTACATTATTTGCAATACAGCCATTCCGAGATATTATCGACCACTGTGGATCACGCGGTCACAGAGGATCTCAATATCACAACAATAACGGATACTTACATAAATAAAATATGCAATAATATAATGTTCCTACGTATACCAGATACATTGCCCTTGAAATCGGTGAACGCTGATGATTAAATTTTGTGACCATTATTGTCTCTGATTAGGTTAGTCGATGGACATGGGGTTGTTCTCCTGTCTCCTCCTTCCTGTGAGGTCATAAGCAGGCGGTTCAAGTCACGTGCTTTACTGGTTACCTAAACTGGTGTA